ATTACTTTTAATTTTTATTTTAGTTTTTTTTGTCCTTTTTTTTTTTTTTCCTTTTTGTCTTTTTTCATGACCGGCAACGGATCGCAACCCTCTGTGTCGTGCCCTGACCGGACTGGGACTGGCAACAGGATCGCAACCCTCGGTGCTGCGCCCGCACCTCGCTCAGCCAGTGAGCGGGAACCGGTTTGTATGTGGGATCCGAACCCTCGGCGGGAGCGCCACCGCGCCCCCAAGCGGCGCACTGTAGCAGTGCGCCACCGGGCCGGCCCTTTTTTGTCCTTTTTGAGACCAGCCGCACCGCGCTCAGCCAGTGAGTGCACCGGTCATCCTATACTCTCCCGAGTGCGCCACGGGCTCGGCCCATTATTACTTTTTAAAAAGATGACCGGTAAGGGGATCTTAACCCTTGACTTGGTGTTGTCAGCACCACGCTCAGCCAGTGAGCGAACCGGCCATCCCTATGTGGGATCCGAACCTGTGGCCTTGGTGTTATCAGCACCACACTCTCCCCAGTGGGCAAGGGGCCGGCCCATTTGAGAAGAATCTTAAAGGACGTGACTGTAGAGCTAGGGCTCGGTCTCACAGACACCTCGAGCCCATTGTCCAGCCTGGGTTACAAACCCTTCACACGCAGGTCTACAAGCTAGGTAATAGAAAAAGGTCCTTGGAACAGTGGGTGAAAAAATAATAGGCTTTATTCAGAGCTAGGAGCAGTCGACCTAATATGGCTTCCCCCAGCATTCTCCAGAAGCTTCGCGCATCTGCACCGTCAGTCCTTTTTACTCAAGTCCATAATCCAAAAAAAATAAAATAAAAGAAAACCCAAAGAAAACCCTGGATGCACATGTGCAATCACATTAGACAATAACAAGGAGCACCTGTGCACACGTGCATACCCACCTCAGATTCTCAGCAAGACTCCGAACATCCAAGGAGCCCTGGCCATTTTCCTTATATTTTCCCAACAGTGAGAGAGGGAGGCTTGTAGATATGTGAAGAAGACAGTTCGAGACAGAGGGAATAGCTGGTGCAAAGGCCCTGAGGTCAGAACGTTGGATGGTGTGTTCAGGGAACGTCGAGGAGGCCAGAATGGCTGCGTGGATTAAGAGAGAGAATGGGACGAGGTGAGAGACAATGGAGGCGAGATACTGCAGGACTCTGTGGGACGCTGAAAGGACTTTGGGTTGTACCCTGAGTGAGTGGGAGCCGTGGGAGGTCTGAGCAAGGAGGAAAATGATGGCTCAGGATCTAACAGGGTCCCTCTGGCTGCCATGTGGGGGAACACACAGTGGGAGCTGAGGGCAGAAGCTGGGAGCATGGTGAGGCCAATGTGAGAGGGGATGGTGGCTGGGCCACGGAGGAGGCAGAGAGGAAGCATTGAGACGTGGCTGGATGTTGAATGTGACGTAGCAGCAGAATGAGATTTTTAAAATATAATTCAGATTTTGTCACTCCTCCTGCTTAAAACCTTCTCTTATTCCCTATTATCCTCAGAATAAAATCCCAAAACTTTAATGTGGCCTATAGTTCCCTAGGTGATGTGTGTCAGGCCCCCCTTCCAGCCCCTGTGATCGCTCTGATCCCATCTCCTATCATCTCCTTCCATTGCTCACTCTTCTCTAGCCACCCAGGTGTCCGTTCTAACCCTCAGATGTGCCTCAGGGCCTTTGCACTTGCTATTTTCCTTTCCCTGTACCTCTCTTCTCTTCTTGTTTTTTTTAAAATAAATTTTATTGTGTATATTTGAGGTTTACAGTATAATGTTATATGACACATAAAGATAGTAAAATGGTTACTATAGTGAAGCCGATTGACATTATCTATCATCTCACATAGTTACTGTTTTTGGTCACAAGAGGAGCTAAAATCTTCTTATTTAACAGAAATTCCTAATACAATACAGTTTTTTTTTTTTTTTTTTAAAGATGACTGGTGAAGGGATCTTAACCCTTGACTTGGTGGTGTCAGCACCACGCTCAGCCAGTGAGCGAACCGGCCATCCCTATGTGGGATCCGAACCCGTGGCCTTGGTGTTATCAGCACCGCAGTCTCCCGAGTGAGCCATGGGCCGGCCCTACAATACCGTTTTATTAACTGTAGTCCTCCTTGTACATTAGATCTCTAAATCTGTTCATCGTGCATATCTGCTACTTTGTAACCTCTGACCTACATCTTCCCATCTCCTCCTATATCCCTAACTACCTGCCAGTGGTAACCACTGTTTCATTCTCTACTTCTATGTATTTGATTTTTTTTAGATTTTTTTTTTTTTAAGATTCCATATATAAGTGAGATTGTGCAATATTTTTCTATGTCTGGCTTATTTCACTTACCATAATGTCCTCCAGGTCCATCCATGTTGTGGCAAATGGCAGGATCTCCTTTTTAAAAAAAAAAATATGTATTTTTAAAATGGCCACATAAAGATCAAGGGTTCGGATTCCTGCACCAGCCAGCTGCCAAAAAAAAAAAGATACATAATAATTATACATATTTATGGAGTATAGTGTGATATTTCGATATATGTATATACTATGTAATGATAAAATCAGGGTAATTAGCATATTCATCACCTCAAATCTTTATCATTTCTTTGTGTTAGTAGCATTCAAAATCCTGTCTTCTAGCTATTTGAGAAAACACAGTGAATGATTGTTTACTGTAGTTACTCTACTGCTATGGAACACTAGGACTCATTCCTCCTGTTTAGCTGTAATTTTGTGTCCATTAAGCAACCTCCCCTCCCCTTCCCTCCTTCCCTTCCCAGCTTCTGTTAACCACTTGTCTACTCTCAACTTCTATGAAATCAAATTGTTTAGCTTCCACATGTGAGTGAGGACATGTGGCATTTGTCTTTCTGTGCCTGACGTATTTCACTTAATGTCCCCCAGGATCATCCATGTTGACGCGAATGACAGGATTGCTTTCTTTTTTAAGGCTAAATGATATTCCATTGTGTGTGTACACACACACACACACACACACACACACACACACGTTTCTTTATCTATTCATCTGTCAACAGACATTTAGATTGTTTCTGTATCTTGGCTATTGTGAGTAATGCTGCAACGAACATGGGAGTGCAGATGTTTTTATGAGATGGTGATTTTATCTCCTTTGAGTATATACCCAGAAGAGGGATTGCTGGGTGGGATGGTAGTTCCATTTTTAATTTTTTAGGAATCTCCATGCAGTGTTCTGTAATGGCTGTACCAATCTACATTCCCACCAGTAGTGTACTGGGGTTTCCTTTTTCCACATCTCCTTGTTTTTTTGCAAGTCTGACACCCAAGCATCATCCAAGTCTTGGCCCACAGGCAAATCAGCCTTCCATGGCCGCACTCTCTATGGAGCTCGCCCCCTCCCACCCAGGTCCTCTCTGTTTCATCTCTATTTCCTCTTTAATTACCCTGTTAACCGGACACAAAGAATGATTGCGTACTGTAATGATGAATAAGCTGACTATGCTGATCTAACCACCACACATTGTACACAATTATGAAAATCAATGTTCTACCCCACCTGTATGTATAATAAAATAAATAAGTAAATAAAAGACAAATTAGCCTGTTAACACATCAGCTTGTTTACTACACCATGAGCCTCACAGGGCATTGTTGGGCATATTCTCTGCTGTTTTCTTAGGCTTGACATATGGGCAGTATAAATACGACTCTTTTTTTTTTTTTTTTTTAAAGATGACCGGTAAGGGGATCTTAACCCTTGACTTGGTGTTGTCAGCACCAGGCTCAACCAGTGAGCCAACCGGCCATCCCTATATGGGATCCGAACCCGCGGCCTTGGTGTTATCAGCACCGCACTCTCCCGAGTGAGCCACGGGCCGGCCCCGATACGTTGATTTTTGTTGACAGAGTTGAGGCTACCCGTGGATGGGGGTCCATAAGGAAGCCTGGGGGACCCTTCCAAAGCAGCAATCATGGAGTCAGACAGACA